CGTCGTCCTCTGGCAGAGAGAAACAAGAGGGCAGCTTTAGGTCTAACTCACTGCTTCCAAACATCTCTGGATTTTTGTCGTCTTTTCTTCTACCTATGATGCACCGACAGGAGGCTGCACTGAAAAACATTTCAATCTAAATAAGTCATTTTCTCCTAAAATATTGGGGCGCCGTTTGTAAAGCTAAGCAGTCAAAAATCATGTTTTAACTATTTCATTCATTCATTTAAAAAATCTTAGTTTGTTCAATAAATATTTAGCTCCAAACTAAATATTTATTTTACGAAGTAAGATTTTTATTAATGAATGTGATAGTTAAAAAAATGAATTGTAAAAAAAAATAAACCCTTATTTTTCTTTTAAAATGCACTAAATAACCATAAATATTGCTCCTGATTTTTGACGGCTTAATTTTACAAACGGCTCCTCATATAAAATAACTGCATTTGTTCTTGAATTCAGGAGGTAAGTGAGACACTTTGCTAATGGAAGAACATTTACATTTAAAATAAGAAAAAAATAATTGCATTGTATTATTTCAAGCACATATTATCTAATAATCACATTTTAGGAGTGAAAATATTAATTGCATTAGCAAATCATCTCATTTACCTACTCAAATTAAGGCTATTTTATAATTTTCTCTTTAAATAAGTGCATTTGATCTTGGAATAAGGAGGACAAAGAGACATTTTGCCAATAGAACAAGACAATTTACACTTAAAATAAGAAAACACAATTGCGTTTTCTTATTTCAAGTGCATATTATCTAATTATCTTATTTTAAGAGTAAAAATACTCATTCCTTTAGCAAACTATCTCATTTATCTGCTCAAATTAAGGGTAAATACACTTAACTTAAGATATTTTTTACTTATTTCTAGATTGTTTCTCCAGTGTTTCTGTCTGTAAGGTAATTACTGATATAAAGAACTCAGCAGCGCATTACAATAACCCGTTATGATTGTGCATGTTAAACAGCTGCAGCAGGTGGTGTTGGGAAATTGCTGCTCGGCTTGTCAGTAGCTGGCAAGGCTCGGTTAGCCATCCATCACACTTCTACACACACGGAGCACATGTCCACACAGGGCCGACCACCGTTTAATTCCAAGTAGCCAGGCCGATAAAGCTGCAGGAGCTCAGTGCCTGAACAGGAGATCCACTTCAAAGGCCTTTTTTTAATAGTTATGAGTTACAGTCATTGGTAAGGATAACCACAAACACTCTGTGGCATTCTGCTGTCATTATGTACGACACGAAACTAAACAGAAATAACGAGACGACTGTTCATAGATTAGATTATTGCTATC